ATGTGGGAACATTATCTGCTTTGAACTGGGATATATGCCAGTAAGGACTCAGATTACCCAATTCAAAGCAGATATTGTGGGATTTTCTGCCTTGATATTCTGGGTTATATGGCTGGGTGGAAGTGCCCTGGATGTGTGCTTTGAGAGCTGGTGCTTCCTTAGAAATAGTGTGTATATTCTGTTATGTTTTTACTTTACACTTTCTCCAAGTTCCTCAAGGATTGATCCAGTGCTATCAAGAGTCAAAGGTCACCCAGCTGGATTTTGGCGCCAAGATGATAAACCAGATCTGCCCAGTTCAATGAGATAATCACTAAACCACATCAATTGTACACTGGCAAAATATGGCTAACTTCAACAGAATTACTTTTGAGCAGGTTCTTCTCATAATTTGATCTTGGGATCATGTTCAAGCATAAACACAACAAAAGATATAATGGATAGAAGAGAGCCAATGCGTTACTGTGATTTAAGTGTTGGTTTTAGACTCAGATAACCCAGTTCAAAGAAGATATTGTGGGATTTTCTGCCTTGATATTCTGGGATTTAGGGCTGTATGGAAGGACCCTATGGTTTCTGAGAAACTGCGGAGGGGAAACTCTCTCTCTCTCTCACACACACACACCTTTTGACTATGTGACCTGTTGATGGCTGTTTGTTGAAAAAGGGATGTCCTGGCCAGATGGCACAGAAAATTATTTCAAATATATCTGAAAATGGATTGATACATTTTGTACCAGTGTATGCTGAACACATGAAAGTTGTGAGTAAACCAGATATGTTATTTTTTTCTATATCAAAGTCTACTTTAGTTTTGTCTCTTGAGTGCATAATATAAAACAAGTTGTTTTGTGGGAGAGTATATATTTTGGTCATATATACTGGTATATATACTGGTCATTGGAGGGAAGAATATTAGAGACAAAGTTGAAGTACTTTGGCCACATCATGAAGAGACAGGAAAACTTAGAGAAGACAATTATGCTGGGAAAAATGAAAGGAAAAAGGAGGAGGGGCTGACCAAGGGCAAGATGGATGGATGGGGTCCTTGAAGTGACTGGATTGACCTTGAAGGAGCTGGGGGTGGTGACGGTCGAACAAAGAGTCGGAACAAATGAACAACATATATTTTTGGACACTGAAATACACTTCTGAAGCACTGCTTTTTTATGCACTGGCAAAAATCTGTTTTCCTAACAAATCAGCAGTAACAGTTTATTCAGTCTAACAACTGAAAAACATTGCCTAGCATAATTATATCTGGGTGTATACCACAAGAAAATATTCTACTCTAAAGGATTTTTGGCTCTTCTCTGAAAGGTCATGCTTTTCTAAAAAGTTACGATTTCCCAAAGGTGTTTTACCAAAAGGTTATAAATGCAATTTTCCTAAAAAAACAAAAATAAAACAAAACCAAACCCCAAAACCAGGGTTTGAATCCCCACTCAATCATGGAAACCCAATGGGTGAGTTTGGGCAAATCTGAGGCCCTATCTACACTGTCATATAATGCAGTCTGAACCTGCATTTCATGGTCAGATTCATATAATACAATTCAATGCAGTTAAACTACATTATAGGAGTCTACACACTGACCATATAATTATATGGCAGTCTAGATGGAGCCAGACTTTCTCGGCATCTGAGGAAGGCAAGGGGAACTGCCCTCGGAAAAAGTCTTTCCAAGGAAATCCCGTGACAGGTTTGCCTTATTGTTGCCATAAACCAGAAACAACCCGAAGGCACACAACGAGAACAATAATGTTTACAGCCACTACATGTCCTAACAACAGCTGTCTTCAGATCACCTTGTGAAATAGATGATGTAAGATAAGACACAAAAGTGTGGCGTCCTCAGTTGAGATGTAACCTGAAAGAGAGCTCCTCTGATATTATCTTTCCAGTGGGGGAAAAAAACGTGCAGAGCTTTCGAGTGTCTGAATGTCGTCAATGGAAAAATACAGTATCTGTTTGCAAAGAGCACAGCCTTCTTTGTGGTGTCACCATAATCTGTAGCAAATAGGCAAGGACATTGGTAGCAGAGCTACTTCAAAACCACAGATTCCAGAATTCCCATTTGAAATTTCCCATTGATAGTTAGCAACTATACAGTTTACTGAACAGGGGCACTGGGGCTGCATCTACATTTATTTACTTCATTTATGTTACTTACTTACTTACTTATTTAGGCAATTCCTCATTGTCCGAGTAGGATAGTCTTCCAAGATCAGTGCACTGGCGGTGGGTCCATAGGTGACTGTGGAGCCCTATTCTTGACCTGCATGTTCTCCTGCAGTGAGGGAATTGGTTTCCAGGTGGAAGGCAGTCCTGGTCAGGGTTGGCTTGATGCGCCTTCCTCTTGGCACGTTTTTCTTTTTCGCCCTCTATTTGTGCCTCTTCAAATTCTACAGCACTGCTGGTCACAGCTGACCTCCAGCTGGAGCGCTCAAGGGCCAGGGCTTCCCAGTTCTCAGTGTCTATGCTAGAGTTTTTAAGGTTGGCTTTGAACCCATCTTTAAATCTCTTTTCCTGCCCACCAACATTCCGTTTTCCGTTCTTGAGTTCGGAGTAGAGCAACTGCTTTGGGAGACGGTGGTCAGGCAGCCGGACAATGTGGCCAGTCCAGCTGAGTTGATGGCGGAGGACCATCGCTTTAGTGCTGGTGGCCTTTGCTTCTTCCAGCACACTGACATTTGTCCGCTTATCAACCCAAGAGATTTGCAGGATTTTCCGGAAGCAGCACTGATGGAATCATTCTAGGAGTTGCATGTGATGTCTGTAGACAGTCCACATTTCTCAGGTAAACAGCAGGGTTGGGAGGACAATAGATTTACAAACAAGCACCTTGGTATCCATACGGATGTCCCGGTCTTCAAACACTCTCTGCTTCATTCGGAAAAATGCTGCACTTGCAGAGCTCAGGCGGTGTTTTATTTCGGTATCAATGTTGACTTTGGCGGGGAGGTGGCTGCCAAGGTAGCAGAAATGGTCAACATTTTCTAATGTTACACCATTAAGCTGTATCTCTGGCATTGGAGAGAACACTCAGAATCCCAGCCCTGGGAAATTAAAGCGAGGTCAAACTATTTCAACAACTATTTTGATAGGCAGCTCTTACAAGGCTGGATGGAAATGAGAGCCCTGAAGTAGACAAAACTTTGCAAAACTCCAACTCCCAGGATCCCAGCCCTGCAAATTTAAAGCGAGGTCAAACCACTTCAACAACTCTTTGAAAGGCAGCCCTTATAAGGCCGGATGGAAATGAGAGCCCTGAACTAGACACAACCTTGCAAAACTACAACTCTCAGGATCCCAGCCCTGTGAAATTAAAGTGAGGTCAAGCTACTTCAACAACTCTTTGAAAGGCAGCTCTTATAAAGCTGGATGAAAATGAGAGCCCTGAACTAGACAAAACCTTAGAAAACTACAATTCAACTGATTTTGCAAAACTACAACTCCCAGGTTGCCAGCCCTGCGAAATTAAAGTGAGGTCAACCTACACCAACCACTCTTTGAAAGACAGCCCTTATAAGGCTAGATGAAAATGAGAGCCCTGAACTAGACCCAACCATCAAAACTACAACTCCCAGGATCCCATCCCTGCGAAATTAAAGCGAGGTCAAACTTCTTCAACAACTCTTTGAAAGGCAGTCCTTACAATGCTGGATGGAAATGAGAGGCCTGAACTAGACACAACCTTACAATACTACAACTCCCAAGATCTTGCAGAACTACAACTCCCAGGATCCCAGCCCTGGAAAATTAAAGCGAGGTCAAACTATTTCAACAACTCTTTGAAAGGCAACCCTTATACAGCTGGATAAAAATGAGAGCCCTGAACTAGACACAACCTTGCAAAACTACAACTCCCAGGATCTTGCAAAACTACAACTCTCAGGATCCCAGCCCTGGAAAATTAAAGCGAGGTCAAACTATTTCAACAACTCTTTGAAAGGCAGCCCTTATAAGGCTGGATGAAAATGACAGCCCTGAACTAGACACAACCTTGCAAAACTAGAACTCCCAGGATCCCAGCCTTGGGAAATTAAAGTGAGGCTAAACTACTCTTTTGAAAGGCAGCCCTTATATGGCTGGATGAAAATGATGAGAGCCCTGAACTAGACACAACCTTGCAAAACTATAACTCCCAGGATCCCAGCCTTGGGAAATTAAAATGAGGTTAAACTACTCTTTTGAAAGGCAGCCCTTATAAGGCTGGATGAAAATGAGAGTCCTGAACTAGACACAACCTTGCAAAACTACAACTCGCAGGATCCCAAAATGAGGTCAAACTGCACCCATTCTACAGAGGCAGGCTGGGAAGCCTTGCCTGGCTAAAGAGTGCTGGTTGGTGCCTCCTCCCCCTCCCAAATAAACTACAACTCCCAGGATCCTATTGCATTCCTGGAGCCAATGGGAGTGAAAGTGGCAGCAGCCTCCTTGCAATTCATTCTACACTCGAGTGAGTGGAAGAGAGCTTGCATTCAAAGAGTGGAAGCTGCTGCTGGGTTGCTTGCTTGCTTGCAACCGGGCCCCAAGGGGGAGAGGCGGGGAGAGGGAGTGTCCTTTCCCCGCGTGTCCCCTCCTTCTTTCGGGGGAGGAGAGAGGAGGAGGCCGGCGAGAAGGAGCAGCAGGAGGAAGTGGAGGCGTCGGCGGGGAAGGATCGCGCCCCGAAAGAGAAGGAGAAGGAGAGAGAGAGAGAGAGAAGGAGGCTGCTTTGCTTTGCCTTGCCTCTCATTGCTTGCCTCGCCTGGCCTCTCCAAGGGCCTCAGCCAGCCCAACAACTCCCCAAGTTTTCCTGATGGCTGCAGAGGGGCTTCTCTTGGGCTCCTCCAGATCCAAAGCAAAGGAATAATAACACCCCCCTTTTTGGAAGAAAAAAGAAGAAATAAATCCCCCCTCCAAATAACCCCAATGGCAGGGAAATCTTAAAGAGAGACCTTTTTTCCCCAGCAACCTAAGAAGAGGACAGCACACCAATCTCTCCCTTAGTTGCATTCTTTATTATTATTTGTTGATATTTTTTGTTTTGCTCTGGAAGAGAAGATGCAGACCTTTCTGAAAGGGAAGCGGGTGGGCTATTGGCTGAGCGAGAAGAAGATCAAGAAGCTGAATTTCCAAGCCTTTGCAGAGCTTTGCAGGTAAGGAAGAGCCTGGGAAAAGAATCAGTGGGGTGTGTGTGTGTGTGTGCTTTTCTCTCCTGTGGAAATCATTCATTGCATGTTCCCATACTCTCTCAAGGATCTTAGGCATCAGTTCTGTCACTGGTGTGTGTTTGTTGTGTGGCAGTGGGGAGATCTCCACTGTGAGGTCAACTGAATGCAGTTTGATCCCACCATGTATGGCTCAATGATATGGAATATTGGGATTTGTAGTTTGGTGAAGTACCAGCACTCTTGGGCAGAAAAGGCTCCAGACCTTGTAAAACTACAACGCTCATACTAAGCCATGACAGACCAAGTGGTGCTAGACTGCATTAGTTCTAATGTGCAGGTGCTCCCTTGTGCAGAGAAGGCTCCAGTCCTTGTAAAACTACAACTCTCATGATCCCATAGTACTAAGCTATGACAGTTTGAGTCGTGTCAGATTGCATTAATTCTAAAGTGCAGGTGCTCCCATGGACAGAGAAGGCTCCAGACCTTGTAAAACTACAACTCTCATGATCCCATAGTACTAAGTCATGACAGTTTAAGTGGTTGCTGTCAGATGCTCCCTTGGGCAGAGAAATCTCCAGACCTTGCGAAACTACAACTCTTGTGATCCCATAGTACTAAGCCATGACAGTTCAAGTGGTGCTAGACTGCATTAATTCTAAAGTGCAGGTGCTCCCTTGGGCAGAGAAGGCTCCAAACCTTGTAAAACTACAACTCTCGTGATCCTATAGTACTAAGCCATGACAGTTCCATTCGTGTCAGATTGCATTAGTTCTAAAGTGCAGATGCTCCCTTGGACAGAGAAGGCTCCAGACCTTGCAAAACTACAACTCACATGATCCCATAGTACTAAGCCATGACAGTTCGAGTTGTGTCAAATTGCATTCGTTCTAAAGTGCAGATGCTTCCTTGGGCAGAGAAGGCTGCAATCCTTGTAAAACTACAACTCTTGTGATCCCATAGTACTAAGTCATGAGGAGTTCGAGTTATGCCAGATTGCATTCGTTCTAAAGTGCAGGTGCTCCCATGGACAGAAAAGGCTGCAGACCTTGTAAAACTACAACTCTCATGATTCCATGTCATTTAAAGTGGTGTCAGACTGCATTAATTCTAAAGTGTAGATGCCCCTACTTTAGCATCTCTCTCAATAATCTAAGAAATCATTTGTGCCTTCTGTGTGTATCAGTGGGTGCATCTACACTTCAGAAATAATGCAGTTTGATCCCATATTAACAGTCATGGCTCAGTGCTATGGGATCTTGGGAGTTGTAGTTTGGTGAGGCACCTGCTCTCTTTGGCAGAGAAGACTCCAGATATTGTAAAATTACAACTCCATTATGTTGTTGAAGACTTCCATGGCCGGAATCACTGGGTTGCTGTGAATTTTCCGGGATGTATGGTGATGTTCCAGAAGCATCCTCTCCTAGCGTTTCACCCACGTCTATGGCAGCCATCCTCACTTGGAGGGTGCCTGCCATAGATGTGGGCAAAACATCAGGAGAGAATGCTTTTGGAACATCGCCATACAACCCGGAGAACTCACAGCAACCCTACGACTCCATTGATTTCATAGCCTTGAGCCATGGCAGTTCAAGTGGTGTTAAGATGCATTCAATCTACAGGGTGGAGAATGAAAATAATAATGCACCCCCTTTTTCTTGACTCTCAACCTGACTCCCTCAAGGATCATCTTAAGATGGGCCTCCTGTTCCTTTAACCATAAGCTCACATCAACCTGCTCCTTCCAACACACAATCGGATCCTGATAATTGCTATTTAGGGGAATAAGCTTTACAAATCATAATAACACCCTTGATCAAAGAGAAGGGAGCCCATGCCTGATGCCATGAGGATGTGAAAAACCTTGCAATTTGCTGTGCTTCTTTGGCTGCCACCACCTCCTTCCTTCTTTCCTTCCTTCCCACTCTCTCCCCTGATGTACCAATAACAGATGCAGCATAATATGAGGCTTTGGGGATTATGGAGACACGTGCAAAAAATGTTTCATATTGAAAGAACTTCATAACCGCACTTGTTACCGCTTATGATAACTTCCTACTATCATAATAATTGGTCCATGAAGGCAAATTACTATCCTTTGGACAAATAAGCAGAGTCCTGTGCTGGTATTGAGGATTTGTTTTTTTATGGTAGGCAAGAAGCTGTTTTGAGCCATAATATGTGTCTTATAATGCATGCACTGTATTTTTATCCTGCCTTGAATACTTATAGTTGTGAATCTTGTTTTATTTACTGTTATTGTGTTATTTTGTTTATGTACTTGTTGCATTTATATGTTTGCACTATTGAGTACTTTTGTGAGCCACCTTGAGTCCCTTTGGGGAGATGGTGGCGGAATATAAATAAAGTATTCTTATTATTTATTAGCTTTGGGACCCGGCGGTGCCCGCGTTTTTCTGAGAAAGGCATTGTGTGCCAAGGTTGGTTTTTACCAGTTATTTATGTGGCTCACAGTGCTCTCGGGAAGTTAGTGAAGGTACTGCAAGTCCCATCGTCCATGGTCCAACCTCCTCCAAATCGCACCAGGATGTAGAGTGGCTCATGGGTGCTCTGTATGCCAAGTTTGGTCTTCATCAGTCATTGAATGTGGGTCGCAGCAGTCTCAGGAAGTGAGTGGAGGTACTTCAAGTCCGATCATCCATGGTCCACCCTCCTCCAAACTGCAGTAGGATGTAGAGTGGTCATGGAGATTCTGTGTGCCAAGTTTGGTATTTATCAGTCTTTGTTGGGGGCTGCAGTAGTTTGTGGGATCCAAAGGGTTTGAAAGTACTAGAAATCCCATCATCCATTGTCTGTCCTCCCCCAAACCTCACCTGGAGGTCATAGGGGTTATGAGTGCCAAGTTTGGTCCTGATCAGTCATTGGATGAGGGTCGCAGTGGTCTCGGGAAGTGAGTGGAGGTACTTCTAGTCCCATCATCCATGGTCCTCCCTCCTCCAAACTGCAGTAGGATGTAGAGTGGGTCATGGGGGCTTTGTGTGCCAAGTTTGGTCTTCATCGGTCATTGTTGGGGGCCATATGGTCCGTGGGAACTAAAGTGTTTGAAAGTACTGTAAACCCCATAGTCCGTGGTCCAACTCCCCCAAACCGCACCAGGGTGTAAAGTGGGTCATGGAGGTTATGTGTGCCAAGTTTAGTCCAGGTTCACCATTCGTAGCGGTCACAGTAGCTTGTAAAAGTGGCAGCCAATCAGGAAGCTGCCACATACACTGCCCTTCCTCCCTCCTCATACAAACCCTGACTTTTATTATATACATAGACATAGATTGATCAGGATTTAAGATCACTAACAACAGAAACAACAGCTCATACTTCCTCTGCAAAAATATAGAACTACACTAGAGTCTTGCTTATCCAACCTTCGCTCATCCAACGTTCTGTGTCATGCAACGCAGTCCGCCTCCTACTTGGATCCACAGCTGTTTCAATACATTGTGATGTTTTGGTGCTAAATTTGTAAATACAGTAATTACTACATAACGTTATTTATTTACATCACTTATATCCCGCCCATATCAGCCTGCAGGCGACTCAGGGCGGTCACGTTATTGTGTACTGAACTGCTTTTTCTGTTGATTTGTTGTAAAACGTGATGTTTTGGTGTTTAATTTGTAAAATCATAACATAATGTGATGTTTAACAGGCTTTTCCTTAATCCCTCCTTATTATCCAACATTTTTGCTTATCCAACGTTCTGCCGGCCTGTTTATGTTGGATAGACGAGAGACTACTATACTCTAGAAAATGGGGTTATAAATATTCTGGAACTGGCCTTAATGAATACATTTTCTCGTTTGATAAAGGAGAAGTTCGTTGACAGCTTTCTTAAAGCATGGGAACCATTTGTATCATTCATAAAAAATGTGAAAATGCCTGCAGGTTTTGAAGATGAAATAAAATATCTGGATAGTAAGGTAGAAATAGAGAAGTCATTTATGATAAGAAGTCATCGCAGATCTTTCAGGTGAGAGGTGAGAATGTTTGAATTTAATGTTTTTATTATACAACAGAAGCAACACAATTAATAACTAATACTCCCTCTGCAAAACTATAGAACTGCACTAGAGTCTCGCTTATCCAACCTCCACTCATCCAACGTTCTGTATTATATGGTTATTGTTTTTAGGTGGGATGGTGGGAGAGTTAGTTTTAATGGGGGTATAAGAGATATAAGTGACATAGTGGGAATTACTGTATACAAATTGCAGAATGATAGTTCTATTTCTGAATATAGATAGATAGATAGATAGATAGATAGATAGATAGATGTTCAAAGGAGTATTAGTTATCTCATATACACGCACACACATTAGCTTGGGTACCCGGCGTTGCCCGGGTAATTAAAAAATGTCATTTTCTTTATTTTACAAAATGAAAAAGGTTGTGGGGAAACTACAACTCACACTATGCCAGGTTAGCCCCCTGAAATTCCATAAATACTTAAAGTTTGTCATGTTGGGCAAGTTTGCTCTGGATGCATAATCAGGGTCCTCTCCAGCTGCAGGATGAATTACAACTCGCACCATGGTAGGTCAGTCACGTCAAATCCCTTCAGTATGTTCAGTTGGTCATGGGGTTTCTGTGTGCCAAGTTAGGTCCAGGTCCATCATTGGTGGGATGCAGAGTGCTCTTAGATTGCAGGTGAACTATAAATCCCAGAACCTACACCTAACAAGTGTCAAGGCCAATTCCACCCCAAATCCACCAGTATTCAAATTTTGGCATATTGGGTATATGTGCCAAATTTGGTGCAGATACATTGCTGTTAGCATTCACAGTGCTCTGTCGATGTAGGTGAATTATGATTCCTATAAATCAAGATGAATTTTCCCCAAGGTCCTCCTGGACGTTTTGTTGGTCATGAAGGTTCTGTGTGCCAAGTGAGGTCCAGGGCCATCGTCGGTGGGGTCCAGAGTGCTCTTTCATTGCAGGTGAACTATAAATCTCAGTACCTACAACAGCTATAA